TCCTTTGAAAGAACCATTTACCCATGCCTGATTTTTAAACATCATACATTGTTTAGAAAATACTGTTTCACTGAGTTATGCAGATATTCCAAATGCACATCACACATTCATCACACAAAATTGAAAAATGTTTGTTACTGTTACCACAGACCTCATCAGAAAAGTCTTCCAAGAACTGGGAAGGTGTCAAGTTCGTGGAGCAATATAACTTTTCCAAAATTCAAATTTCCATTGGAAAGCTGAAAGGTTATTATTTGGCAATAATACCTGTTTTCTTTGAAGTGATAGAATCTGTTCATGTTTGAGAAAATGTGTGCCAGAATCTCTAGTTTAGCTGCAAGTGAAAATGATGTTCCATGAAAAAAGTAGCTTGTTCCACTGGAAGCTCAGAAGTCCTTTCCCCCAGTGGGCTTTTTTTTTTTTTTTTTTTTTTGAGACAGAGTCTCACTTTGTTGCCCAGGGTAGAGTGAGTGCCATGGCATCAGCCTGGCTCACAGCAACCTCAATCTCCTGGGCTCAACCCATCCTCCTGCCTCAGCCTCCCGAGTAGCTGGGACTACAGGCATGTGCTACCATGCCCGGCTAATTTTTTCTATATATATATTAGTTGGCCAATTAATTTCTTTCTATTTTTATAGTAGAGACAGGGTCTTGCTCTTGCTCAGGCTGTTTTCAAATTCCTGACCTCCGGAGTAATCCGGCCGCCTTGGCCTCCCAGAGTGCTAGGATTACAGGCATGAGCCACAGGGCCCGGCCCCCAGTGGGCTCTTGTTCTTTGTTTTGCATCCTGAGGTCTCATGCATGCCCCATTTAGCAGCACAGAATATTGACAAGATGTGTCCTTGGGGGCTTAGATTTCATCAGACAGTTTTGCTGCTTCATTGAGGATAATCTCAAGTGAAATGAGTTTTTTGCCATGAGTATGTGGTGATGAACAGCAGCCGCTATTACTAGTTGGCGTCACTGCCTTAAAGAGGGCTATGGTGCTATGGATTTACCCACCACTGCAGAGTTAACACAGTGAAAAAGGCACATGACATTTCAGTAACACTGTGAAAGTACTTTTTGCCTTGGGCCACCCAAAAGGGTTTTGGGGAGGTTGAGGGGTTCACTGCCCCCCAGGAGTGCGCATGGGAGCGACTTCCCCCACAGCACATGAGCTGTCTTGGGAGGGGTGGCTTTTCTGCACGAACATCTCCGTGATCTCAAGAGGGGAATGGGGCAATGGTCGGCCAAACATCCACCGCTTACGTGCCAAGGAAGGCAACTAGCAAAGTGCACGGCTGTACCCTCTGGGTAAGAAAGTGGGACTGAGGACAGCCTAAGTGAGGGAGACTTCCCCATTTCATTCAATATTCAAAACAGAGTATTGTTTAAATCCGTTGGAGTGAGACTGTCTTCTTGCTTTACGTGTACAAATAGAAAAATAAAGGCGTGAATGGGAATGGGACCAAAGAGGCAGACTGCTGGCTACAATTTAGCAAAGTTGTCTGTGTGTAGATAGGAGGTATTCTTGTTCAAGAACTTTCCATTCTTTCACAGAGACAAGCCAGTTTCCCTTTGCTTCTAAGGGTACTGCATTCAGATCAACACCCTGTGTTACCACTTAGGAAGGTCAATTTACAATGCTACTGATGAGGTTACATTCCAAGCCCCAGTTTCAAGTGCATTCAATGTGGGTGCTCCCCAAGGCCCTGGCTGAGATCTCAAGTCTCCCAGGCTGCATACTCTGCGGCGTGAGTACAGAAACAGCGCGTTTATTCAGCTCTGCCTTGTCAGATGCTCTGTGGAGATTCCAACAGAGAATCAACACTTTATGGTGATCATTGGCCTTAAATCACCATAAGCCCCCTGAAAATCAACACTTTATGGTGATTATTGATCATCCCAAGTAAAATCTTACACACCTCAAGATTATAAAACTTTCATCCTATATTTTTCCTAGTACGGCGATACACCGCATAACAGCTTTGTAACAAAGCTGACAAATTTCTATTGCCTAGTAATATCCTAGCTGCCATAACACTGTAGCACAGTTACTTTATTTTTTATCAACTTAGTGTGGCCTAAGTGTACAATGTTTATAAAGTCTGTACTAGTGCACAGTAATGTCCTTCACATTCACTCTTCACCCACTCACAGACTCACCCAGAGCAACTTCCAGTCCTGCAAGTTCCATGATAAGCCTGGTCTCTGGGTGTACCATTTCTTATCTTTTGTATCATATTTTCATAAGAAATATGAAAGATTTCATAAGAAATCATAAGATTTCTGTAACCACTTTATTTTCAAAATGTCATTTACAACTTATGAGAACTTTTTGTAATTATTTAAATTTATGATAAAAAATTTTAATATCAACTTAAGAATGTGGGAAAGGAAGACATAGCATACCTTCAGGGGGCATCTAAAAAAAAAGTAAAAACACAAAAGTGTGGCCCATTCCAGGATTCCAGAGTCCACACTGCTCTCTCAGCTTCAGGCCGCTAACATGCTACTCTCCCTTGGAAGGCTCCAGCATCACTAACTCCCTCGAGCTTTGTCTTAAATGTCACTGTCACTTTACCTGAGAAGCCTTCTTTGTCTCCATGCTAAGTTAGATCTCCTTTTTTTAATTTTTTTTGAGACTGAGTCTCACTCTTGCCCAGGCTAGAGTGCCATGGTGTCAGCCTAGCTCACAGCAACCTCAAACTCTGGGGCTCGAGCGATCCTCCTGCCTCAGCCTCCCGAGTAGCTGGGACTACAGGCATGTGCCGCCATGACCAGCTAATTTTTCTATATATATTTTTAGTTGGGCAATTAATTTCTTTCTATTTTGAGTAGAGACGGGGGTCTCACTCTTGCTCAGGCTGGTTTTGAACTCCTGACCTCGAGTGATCCACCTGCCTGGGCCTCCCAGAGTGCTAGGATCACAGGCGTGAGCCATCACACTGGGCCAGATCTCCTTGATACATGTTCCTTTAGCACCATGAACTTCCCACCATCCCACATGTAACTCCAGTTAAGTGTTGCCCCAGGAAGGCATCAACAGAACTAGTCTTTTCATATAGACTTCTGTGCCCAAAGTCTGCAGATATCAGCCAAAGAGGTCGGCCCTGCTTTTTAAGCACCATCCACCTGGAGTGGAGGGAAAGACTCAGATTGCAAGAGGCTGACAAAGGTACAAGGTAAGGAAGCTGAGGCCAAGGGGTGTGGGTTAATTATCAATTAAGAGGTTTGGATGGAAAAGGGAGAAAAACAGGGGGGCAGTGACCTCCCTTTCTGTGACTGCTCACAGGAAGTGAGGTGCATGAAGAGCACAGAGAACAGCCAAAGAAGTCAGAGAGCTGGGTTTGCAGCTAAACAAGGAACAAAAGGAACTTAAGTTCTCAGTGTTTCCAAGCCAGAAACATCGCACAAAAGTTTACAATTTGGTGACTAACAGTAATCTGTGATAATTCACAGAAAGTACCATACTTACACATATGCATATTTATTCACTTTATACTTGTAAATCCTCAGGTGAACACAGGACCTGCTTTCTCTCTTTACATAATTTTTTCTAAGGCAGTGATATCTGGTCTCAGTTAAAGGCAGCATGAGCGGCATTAGTTGTGCACACTATCCATGCTCATGACTTTTGCCCTCTAAAACTAACCCTAATTATTCTTACAGTTCAGGGCACTAATTCTCACAAAAAGGGAGAGTAACACTGCTGAAGATCTTTCTGCTCTGTCATGCTTCATGTTGGCACTCAAATATTTATAACCTGAGATCTCTCTATTCATCTGGCTTTGTCCCCAAAGATCACTATCTGCCAGTCACCTTACCTGATGTTAATCAGGTGTGAAGAAACTAGCTACCATCCTGGCCCCGATTAGAACTTTCCATTGAAATGTCTTCCTGCCTAAAGCTACCCCACAGGCTTCCATTATGGAGAAATTATTTTACCATTTGGCATTCTTTTAAAGTGCAACTATTCCCTTGAAAAGGATTACATATTAAACCACTTTTACTACAATCAAAGGGGAGTAGAGTAGAAGGATCCAGAAGGCCTGTGGATCTGTTTATATGTACTTCTGTAAAACAGCTACCCTGCCTTCCTGTATTTTTTTGCGAAGTTCACGAATGGATGCATTTTATGGACTTTACATGTATACCCGAGCACTTTAATCACTGCACACGAGGCTCCTAAAAAAAATAAAAAAAATAAACAAACAAACAAACAAAACCCCAGAAACAAATCAGAACAGCAAGGCGCTGGGGAAGTGAAGCAAGACTGAATTTTGAAACGGTCTAACCAAACACGCTGGGGAACACCTTTGTGAAAAGGTTCTTCAGCTCTGTGTACACATGTAATTATCATCACCACAGTGATGGGGGACAAAAGGGGGTCTGCATCCGAAACGCGCAGGTGGAGAGGCAGGGACGAAGGCAGGCGAGGAGCCGGGACCCCCGTGCTGGGGCTTCGCCGTGGGGAGAGGGTCGGCCCCGAGCTGCGGCGGCCTGCCGCCGCTGAAACCGCTCCAACTGTGCCCTGCGGGCCTTACCACCGTCCGCCCGAACACGCTTGCGGATGCACAGTCCCAACTGCAGCCGCGGCGTCCGCCGCCCCAGGGTCGCGCACCCCAAACGCTGGGGCGTCCCGGCTGCGGGGCGCGGAAGCCGCCCGAGGGCGTGCAGCCAGGAGATGCGCGTCCCAGCCAGCCCGAGCGGCCCTCACACCAGCCCGCGCACGTCCCGCCGCGGGACAGGCGGCAGCAGAGTTCGCCCTCCGGCCGGCACCCACCCACACGCCGCCCAGCTCCCCGCCGCCTCCTCTTTTCCCGCGCCCGCGGCTGGGCCCGCCCGGGGAGCGTGCGCAGTGGCCAGAGCCCGGCCCTCCGCGCCGGCAGGCAGTTGTGCAGCAACCGTCGGCCGAGCTCGGCCAACCAGGGGACGTGATATTGCCGCGGAGCCCCGCCCCAGCGGGGGACTATGGTGACGAGCGGCCAATCAGGAGTCGTGTTATTGCAGCGGAGCCACGCCCCCGGCAGGGGGCTGCGGTGACGGCTGAGGGTCATGGGGTGTGAGCGCAGCTGAACTGCCGAGCCTCGGAGGACCGCGGTGTCCCTTCGCCTCGCGGCCGCGAGCGGCACACCGGCCCTGCGCTTGCCCGCCCGCCCGCCCCTCGGCGGCGGCGCGGCTCATGCGGCTGAGGGCGGGGGTCGGGGGTCGGGAGCGGGCGGCGGGCTGGGCGTCTGGGTGGCCCGGGCCCGGGCGGTGAGGGGCGGCTGCGGGCCGGCCGGCCGGCTGAGGGCCCCGGGCGCGGAGAGCAGGCGGAGCCCTCGGCCGCCGCGCCGGGAAGATGCTGCTGTCCCTAGTGCTCCACACGTACTCGATGCGCTACCTGCTGCCGAGCGTCGTGCTCCTGGGCACGGCGCCCACCTACGTGCTGGCCTGGGGCGTCTGGCGGCTGCTCTCCGCCTTCCTGCCCGCCCGCTTCTACCAGGCGGTGGACGACCGGCTCTACTGCATCTACCAGAGCATGGTGCTCTTCTTCTTCGAGAACTACACCGGGGTGCAGGTGAGGCCCTTCCCGCCCTCGGCGCCTCCGAGCCCCCGCGGGGCGCGCGGGCCTCCCAGGCTGGGCCCCTCCCCTCCCAGGTGGCTTAGGTCGCCGGGCCTGCCTGGCGGATGCGGCTTCGGAACCACGTGCCGCCCCCCACCCTTCCAACTGTGGGGGAAGTTTCGATGCTCCTCGCAGGTCCACCGAGATCTCTAGGAAGCTGCAGTCACGTCGTCTGGGGCTAGGGGGCTCACCCGCCCCTCGCCCGGGGTCTGGTGTCACTGCCTGTCGTGGTGCTTTGGCAAAGTAGATGCAAGTGGACATTTAAAGTAGGGCAGGCACCGGTCCAGGAAGGTGGTACTAAAACAGGATACGTTCGCACTCGGAAGTGCGCTTCTAAAATGACCTTCTCTTGAAACTGATTGATGTTGCTGTTCGGGCTGGTCTTTGTGTTCTCCCCCAGTCCCAGGGAAGGATGGGCGAGGAAACGAATACATTTGTTGCGGTAGAAGCCTTGCTGTAGGTAGAGTTTTTGCCAACTTTAGGCGTGAGTACGTGGGCGATCTTTTGTCTGGTTACTTTTTTACTGTTTCCTTCTCTGTAGAGGTTGGATTTGTAGGTAATGAATTTGCAGTTGCACTGCTGATGGATCCTTGATGACTTTGAGTTTGCCCCGCAAAGCTGGGGGTTGTTTGCGGGGAAAGGGACTAGGAGAGGCTAGGGCCTCCATTTAAACCACCATCTGTGTTTCCTAGGAAAGAAAGAAAGGTCACTGTTCCAGATCAGGGTTCCCTGGTATTTGATTTTTGAAATGGGCCTCCTTTAACATTTTTAGTAATTCAGGTTAATGTTTTCCCCTTACACCGTTATTTCACCAAGTTTGTCTAAATGTATGGTTTTATCATAATTATTTACTTTCACATCATATGACAGCTGACCTGGGCTGGGATATATGCTCAGAACACAAAGTCAGCCTACCTGTGGTGAGTTAGTTTTGTTTAAAGAGTACACAACGTAATACAGAATATACCATTGAAGTACTTTGTGTTTGGCAATTTCTCGTTTTTTAAAACAATCGTGAAACGTCATAGTGTTTCTGAAATTATATGCCTTACCTTACATGGTGCTAACTACAGCTCTCCAGTTTACTTTTTGATTTCCCAGCAAGTGGTTTTTAAAACATTTAATCTGTTGTTTTCCCCTTCTATTGTTCCAATAAAAGGATCTAGCATCTAAAGATATCCTTTTATCTGAGGGCCCTTAAGTATAATTCAGAATTTTATTTCACGTGTGTCCCTTGATGAAGTTTATTAGGAATCCTAGAACAGATTGCCCACTGTTCACCAAATGTAGGTTTTGAACATTCAATAAAAATGTAGAATTGGGAGTTTTTAGTTCCTGCCTTTTTTTTTTGGCAAGGAGTTTGCTATTTAGTAGCAAAGAGCAGGGTATTTTTAATATGATAGAGTCTTTTTTTGGAATTTGGGTTTCCTGTGTAGACAAGTCTACCTTCTGATATTTTTGATAGTTTCCCTGAAGATTAAATCACTAGAGGAATAAATAGCTACCTTCAAATATAAAAGCCAAAGGAAAAAGATTTACAGGGACATCCTGTCACCTTCTTACTTTTTACCTATTATTTTTCATAATTGACTTTGTCATTGAGATGTTGCGATTAAACTTTTAGCTTGTTTTTCCTATTTTGCTAGTATATTTTTTTCTTTACTTGAATTTTTTATTTTGAATGAATTAAACGAGTGTCAAAATAGAAATTGCCTTGAAGCTTGCCTATTTTAGTGTCACAACATAAAGGTGAATCACTTCTACACTGTATTGTTACATGTGATGAAAATCGGATTCTTTTTGACAATTGCAAGCATTCTGCACTGTGGTTGGATAAAAGTGAAGTGCCAGAAGACAGTCCGAAACCTAATATTGATCAAAAAAGGCTGACGGTGTCTGTTTGGTGGTCCAGCGCTACAGCTTCGTAAAACTTGGTCAGTTGATTACAGTGGCTGTCTACTTCATCCAGTTGGACAAAATTATGAGGATGCTTGCGATTCAGCAACCGAGATTGCTCAACAGAGACAGGCCAATCCTCTTGCAAGACAGCGCTTGGCCACATGTCTCACAAACAATGCTGCTCAAACTACGGCTGCTGGACTTGGAAACTGTCATCCACCATATTCACCAGACCTTGCACCAACTGACTACCACTTTCAGGCTTTGGACCACTTCTTCTTGCAAGGAAAAATATTCCATTCTCAAGTAGCTGAGGAAAATGCCTTTTGCGATTTCATCACCACTTGCTTTGCTACTGGCGTAAACAAGCTACTGTTAAGATGACAAACTTGTGTTGATAGTTTAGGTAGTTTAGGCACATACTTTGATTAATTGTATGCTGCTTGATATATAATAAACCACACATTTGATTCGAAATCAGACATTTCATAATTACCTAATATTAAAGCATTTTGTTCTCTACTTTAACATGCTAAAAATAAAAGGAGCCTGGTTTTCTATGTTAAGGTTACTTTTAAAATAGTTTTCCATAATCTTTTAGTTATTACTTTCAAACTTACCTTCACATGCTCCTTAAATATATCATTTGATTAGTTGTCTTATTTTCAAAAGGAATCTGCATTCTGTATAAAAACCAACTTCTTGTTCATATTTTGGTGTTCTTTTAATTCTTAGCTGATTCTGAAAGTACCAACTTGTAATAGTATACAAAGAAAAAAAAAGAACTAAAAACCTGGTAAATTAAAGGTATTATAACTTCTAAGTTAAGACTTTATTATATATAATATGGTATAACCTTGGCATTTGGTTTTCACTTAAAATCCTTTTGAGACAGGAAGTATCTTGAATGTGGAATATTTGGAGACTCAGAATAGCAGACCATGTGTATATCCTTGAGGTGGAGTTTGAGGAAAATTTGTGGGTACCTAAGAAGAAAATGGGTGTCCTGGCAGAGGAAGTGGTTAGGACTTGTGAGAAAACAGTGAATGAAGGCAACTGTAGTGTTGTTAACTTTAGTCGAGGTGAAACTAGATTTGTCCTACTTTGTATCTGAGAATTCTATCCTACGATTCTAGGTGTATCCTAAATGTTGAGATAACTGCATAAACAATAACCCCAACAGTTATGATGAACAATGAAAATCTTTTTAACACGTTTTGTGAAACTGATAAAAGTTAAGTAACATAGTTTTTTCAAATGTCAAAATTCTTTTTTCTTTGTTTCTTTTTTAAAAAATCTTTTCCTTTAAAAAAGAAACAAAGCAAAATAATTCTGACATTTGAAAAAATTATGTTAACTTTTATCACCTTCACAAAACATGTTAAAAATATTTTTCATTGTTCGTCATAACTGTTGGGGTTATTGCTTATGCAGATTTCTTTTCCTCCATTCCAATGTAGTAAACTAAAAACTGGTTACTGATGTTTGCAGGCTAAAAAATTACCAATACCTAATAAATTAATCACCAATTTATTCTTAAATCAGTTAGCAACACTTGGAGTTTACTTTAAAATATATTTTCTATTAATGGTTCTGATAGCTAATCCCCTCTCCCCCAAATGCTAACATAATATAACAATAAAATGTGAAATTCTTACTGTGTATAAAATGAACTTAGCTTTTCGACTGACCTTCAAGTGTAAAATAGTTTGAAAAGCACTGGAAACAAGATAATATAAGTTTAAGATTTTTGACATTTGTATAAATATACTCACCTAAAATATTCATTTCTTTAATGAGTCATACTTTTAATTGAAATGTTGTTCCAAGTTTCTCAGAAACAATCTTTTTATCTGGAGACCATTTATAATTGGTTCATTCTTTCTGTGCTGACTCATCAAAATAGTCCTAAACTCTTGAGTTAAATTTATATTCTGAATCTTGCTGTAAAAGCATGAACATGTTTATTTAGAGTGGGGAAAGGACCTTATAAGTCATCTATCTAGTTCAGCACCTTTTATCACTTCTGAATTCTTTCTGCATTTCTGCCAAAATGTTGCTTAGTTTTCTCTAATATCTGTAGTTCTAAAGAGAATATGAATTGTAGGTTGTATCCTTAATTTTATTCTTCTCTGCTTATCATTCATGTGAAGATCTGAAATAGATCTTAGAGTACTTCCTTCCATTTAGCTGAGAGTAATCAGACAGGGCAGGTTTGGGTGTACCTGTCCATTTGCTTATTTAAGCAGAATTATAAAAACTTTTGCTATAGGAAATTAAACATTTTCCAGTCAAATATAATTCTAATCAAAAACAATTTAGGTCTGGCTAGGGAACTGGTTAACTTACTAGACTTATAAAAAAATCCTAGAGATGTAATTAGGACTTTATTTTTACATTTTTTATAAATGTAAACTGTGAAAAACCAGTTATGTTAGGTTGCATTTGTGTGTAGTTTTTAATGCATTATTTTTGTATTTTAAATCACAGATGCAATAAAACATACAAACACAGCCACAATATTTTGAGAAAGTTAAAAGTTTTCCCTACTCCTACACTACATACACCTTCCGCAGGTATGTAACAGTTTGGGGCATAACTTTAGATTTCTTCCAAGAGCTTTTAAATTAATGTTTGAATTGTGGGAAGATTCCTTCATTAAATTACCTTCTTGGATGGGTTTTATGGTGCAGTAGCAGTAAATACACCTGTGTACCTATGGGGACAATTCTGTGCCATTATGATTAAAAGCAAAGGAAAAAACGACGGCATATACATCCCCTCTTTTTTAAATTTGTCTAATTTTGTGGAGCAGAATGCAGTTGATGCTTCTTAAATGGAATTAGTTACTTTTTCTTATTCAAATTGAAATTGTTTACAGCTGCATTTTTGTATAATCAGTTTCTGAGGAGGGATTAGAGGAAACAGCTGTTTCTCTTGTCCATTAATCATTTAACACAGTTTTTAATTTAAAAAATTTGGATAATAGTTTAACTTTTTTTGGATGGTTACTCCGTTTGGGGCATTTTATGAAGTAGTTTACATTGTTTCATTTA